TTCCACCGAGAATGGTGTCCTCGGCTTAACTGGGGAAGTTACCTCGGCTTCAGCATTCTGTTGCTTCCTCTTGAGGTAATCTCTCAAGTCTTCTTTACTCTTTCCTGGAGCTCGGCTATCTCTGGACTTCAATCTCTTCGGCACACTACTTTTGGCCTCGTGGTGGGGTCGTTTTGATCTCTTTCCATGTGTTGTGTCAAAGCAAAGCGCCTGTCCTTGAACATGCCGATGTTCTTTGGGCTCTAGATCCTTCGTGTGATACGTTCTTCGAGACTCCTCTCCTCTGCCTTCCCTGGAAGGTCGGTGAGAGTGCCTTCCGCTCCTGGTGTGCTGAAGGACTTCGGAGATTGTTTTTCTTCCTCCCTTCTGGGTGTTAGTTGCTGGCATCGGCGTATCCTGCAGCGGGTATGGTGGCTGCATGACATTGTTTTGCATCATGAAGTTGACCACTGACTGTAGGTCTGCCAACTTGTTTGCCAAGTCTTTTACTTCCTCATCCCGCCGTAGGCACCTATCCCTCCATACCTGAAGGTTATCTTCGTCATAATACTTGCTTTGGCCTGCCCTCTTCGAAGCGTCGCCCTCCTGGCCGACGTCTTTCTCTCCGTGGCCTTGGTCATGAGTTTCTGTATTGTGGTTGTCTCCTTCAACGTCAAGGTCAATTGGTCTACCACTCCCAGCAGGAGTGTCACCCCCAATGTTTCCCTCTGTCCGTTACTGGCCATCTATTCTTCTAAGTTTCCCACAGACGGCGCCAAATTGTGTGGGTGATTTTCTGACCACACTGCCCGCTTAGTAACCAGCTAGAGAGCATTGACAGAATAGATGGCACCTGACTGACCTGCCACAGAAATATAAGAATCCCGCGGTGGTTTCGACCACCCGGGGGCACTCCGACGATCAAGTCAGTATATCTCTCAAAGATAAATCTAGTACTAAACTCACAAGCTTGAGTATCAAAAGCATACCTTAGACCCATGGGGGTGCCTCTCTTTTATAGCCAATACAATTCTATTCCCAATAGGAGCCTGGCCCTAATGGACTTAGGATTACTGTTAATCTGGGACTCCTAGTGGGATTAGGATAAACTCTCTAAGAGTCTTATCTTTACCCAAACTGAAGTCTTCTCCCAATCTAGGACTCTTGTCCATATCCAAGTTGAGTTCCCTCTTCATTCTAGGACTCTTGTCCCTTATCCGCTTATCTCAGATTCCGATATCTTCGGAGATAACCTCGGCAACTCCGAGATCACCTCGGCATAACTACCACGACACGTGGAACCTCGGCTGACACGTTGGCGTCACCTTGCCACGTGTTGGTGATCGAAAAATATGTCCCCACACCAAGAATAAAAGTAGAGGTCGCATCTCTCACAGTTGACGGTGGTGGTAGGCAGTGATGGAATTAGGGTTAGGGTTTCAAGAAAAGAGGAGAATGGAAGGAAAAAGAAGAAAGAAGGTTATTGGTGAGGATGAAGATGAAAGTGGTGGCTGCCGATGGGAGTGAAAGTGGTGATGGGTTGGATGCCAGGAGCAAGGATCTCCTTATTGACTCTTCTCCTTGACTCCCTACTTTATGGGCCATTGGGTCCACTTTTGGACCAAATTTTGATGATCCGAACTATTTACATTTTAGAATTTGTCATTTATATCATACCTGTAAAAAATCAAATTGATTGAATATCGAAAGAACTAAAAATCATATATTAAAAAAATTTAATAAATAGTTTTATTGTTTAATAAAATTTTAGTTCATGTGGTTTTTGATATCCGATCGACTTGATTTTTTTACAGGTATGATATACATGACAAATTCTAAAATTTGAATGGTTCGGATCATCGAAATTGGGCCCAAAAGTGGACCTAATAGCCCATCAAGTAGGGAGTCAAGGAGGGGATCCTTATGCCAGAAGGTGTTGGCGGAAGTGGAAGTAATAGTGGAATTAGGGTTAGGGTTAGACTTGGGAGTATAGGGATGGGGACAAAATTGAAATTTGATGTTAGGAAAAAATTGTAATAAAATAAATGAGGGGTCCAAAGAAAAAAGTTAGGCATTTAACAACCCTCTTTACTTATTGTTAACCCATAGGCTCAATTTGTTTTGAGCGATGAATAATACGATTGGATTAGTAATGAGTGGGTCCGCAAAAAATCATATTTATTTTTGAAATGTGCCATGGGATTAAGAGTCCCATGGGATTTTGAAACCCTTCCACAGAGATCATGTTTGTTTAGACAGACTGGATAAAGAGGGATTGTAATTTATCAGACTATTAATCATGAGATATATAGTCCCTGAACTATTTAGTTAGAAAGAATGTGTATTCCGTTTTTGTTTTATCATGATATTAGATATTTGGAAATGACTATTCTATTGAATTTAATGTTTGATTGAAATATTATGAAGAAAAATAAATGCTTAATAGACTATTTTACCTTTTTCAATTATTTATTTAGTAATAGCAATACTAAATTTGTCTTTAATATTTTAATTGTTTTTGTGCAGATTAAATAAAAAATTATTTAATTTTATTTAATTTTTTTAAAATTAAATAAATTTATTTATTTAATTTTAATTAAATAAATAAAACATCAATAAAAAATTTATGTTATTTTTAAAATAAAATTTTAAATAATTTTTTTAAATATTAAATATTAAATAATCAGTTTAAATAAAAAAATCAATAAAAATTAAATAATGAAATGAAATAAAATATCAACAAAAACTTAAAATAAAACATAAATAAAAAATCTATAAAAATTTGTTTAAAAAATTAAGTAAATAAACATCATTAAAAATTAAATTAAATTATTTTATTTTATTTCTTAACTGAGATTTTTATATTTTATTTCATTTTACTTACTAAATACAATACATAATGAAATCAAATACTTGGAGGGCAAATGTGTCATTTTACAACTTAGTCCCATGAGATTCCAATCCCACCATTTCTATTCTACATCCCTCTAGGACACAATAGTCCAACATATATGGGATTGATAATCCAGTAAGACTCTTAATTTAGCCTATAAATTTTCACCAAATAATGGACTCCATAATAGATTGGACATGGAGTCAAATCCCTCCTCCAATGCTTCCAAACAAACATCCCCTAGCAATCCCATGGAGAGATAGTATTGTAAAACGAATATTTTGCCCTTCATTTTATAAAACAACTAAGTTACCTTCTATATAACAAGAGTTTTTATGGAATTTTATAAATTTTACATTAAACTAATATTATTATAAAATGCACAAATAAACACAATTTATATTATGTCTCCAACATCAAACTAGTAATCCCCTCTTGTGTTCTTTCTTTTTTTTTTTTTTTTTTGTTTTTCGGTGCATGTTGATGTAAAAAATTAATTAATTTTTAATTTGAGTGGTGTCATATTGTTCAGTGAAAAAAGAAGGGGTAATTACCATTTAGTGGTAATTTATAAAAATAATTACATATTAATGAAAAAAAATATAATTATAATTATAATTTTAATATTTATAATATTTATTATTTTTTGTAATTATTTTCTGAGAAAATTATTTATAAGTCCTATTAGGGAGACTTATGCTACATATAGTCCTACTAAAAAACTTATGTTTCCATAAGTCCTGTGTGAAATTTGCTGACACATTTACTCTCAATATTACTTGTTAATATCATAAATAATGGTAAAACCATATATAGGAAATTGAATGTTACCATAGATTAAGTTTGCAAAACGTAACGTGACACCTACATAAACGTAACATAACGTGACACCTACATAAACGTAATGTGACACCTACATAAACGTAACGTAACGTGACATGTTATGTTTCGCAAATTTACTAGATTTTTGATTTTTTAAATTGAATGTGAAAATGTTATTTTTTCATGTATTTTGAAATTCACATTCATATAGATATGATCTAGGAAAGAAAAATGATTTTTCCCTCGAATTTTGCCACCCCGAATCCCCCCGACGTCGTTTTGGGCAGTTTTTTTTTTTTTTTTCTTCTTTATGCAGGTCTGAGACAGAGGGAGAGGGAGAGAAAGAGAAAAAAGGAAGAGAAGAGAGAAGAAGAGAGGAGAAGAGAAAGAGGAGGGGAAGAGGGAATGGAGCCCTCCGCTTCCGCCGTCGGCTGATCGTCGCAGCTCGCAGCTCGTCACTCGTCGCAGCTCGTCGGTCGATCGTCTCCGCCTCTGCCTCCGCCCCTTGCCCAGCTTGGTTGATGTTGGCCCCTCCAGTCCTTCTTCTTCTTCTTCTTCTTCTTCTTCTTCTTCTTCTTCTTCTTCCTTCTTTCTTCGTTCTTCTTTCTTCTTCTTTTCAAATTCGGGCGATTCGGGGGGAGGGGCTCTTTTCGAGTTACATATCACTTCTGATTTAAGAAATTAAATGTTACCATAGATTAAGTATGCGAAATGTAACGTGACACCTACATAAACGTAATGTAATGTGACCATATAAAATGGGACATTACATAAACGTAACGTAACGTGACACCTACATATATGTAACATAATGTGTCACGTTACATTTCGCAAACTTATTAGGTTTTTGATTTTTTAAATTCAATTTCCTATATATGGTTTTGCTATTATAGTGCATAATAATATATTAATACCATTTATTTACAACTCATAGGATCTTGTAGAATACATTCCTATCTAAATAGAACTCGAAACTCTATAAGAAATTACACAGGATTTAACCTAACATAAATGTCTAACATAGGACTTATCAATAAGTCTCCCTTACTTTCTCTGACATTCACTGTTAGATAATTTTCTCAAAAAAGAAGGTGTAACTGTTGAGTAGTATAACCCATTCCCTCTTTCGCAAGAATATTGAACAAATAAGTTTTCTTGATTGATAGTTCCTATTGTCATGCCCTAGAGGCAATACTTCTAAAACATAACCAACTCCAAAAATAACCACAACAGGTTGTCATTCATCCAATCTCAGAAAAGCAAATACAATAGTATATACATGCATTGGATTCTTGATATGCACAGACTAGGTAAAGAAGACACGTACGTCAGATAGCGCACAATTCTCAGGAAGCTTCGCAAATAGAAAAAATGAACCTTGAGCCTTAAATTGAACTTGGAAGCCAACCCCAGCAAACAACTCGATAGTGTAATTTCTTCTTGATTCATAATCCTAATCACAAATGCAAATATGCATTACAAAAACAATTGGCATTATCATGAGCACAAATTTTATCAGAGTAAGCTATTGTATGCAATCAAATTGACAAATTAGTGCTTTCTAAATCCTACTTTTCTCAACGATTCAAAGTATTCTAAAGGGCTTCTCAAAGCAGTCAAGGCAGCTTCTTGGAAAGGTGCTGGAGCAGAGTCCATTAATTTAGTATGGATACTTCTAATTGCAGATGCAATACAAGCATGAGCAACCACCCATCCAATTCTCCAACCTGATAGAGACACACCCATGTCAACATAGTGCAGATCCAAACATGAGCACACACAGAAACCGTTTACTGGTCATTTAAGTAGTGATAGGACCTTAGAAGCACTGACACTCCAAGATGGGTGCCATGTCTATGTCTGACACTATGGGGAGCGTGTGTCCATGTGTCCACTCAAATTTTTTAATTATTATTTGTTTGTAGGACACAATGGGAACACTTCATGGACAAGTGTCCTGTGTTTAGACACACCTCAGGACACTTTTGTAGTTTTTTTTCTATAGTTTCACAAAGCTAATTTGGAATCAAAGTAAAATATATGGAAATAAAGCAAGAATAAGTAGAAAAAGAAATTAAAATACACCCAAATATACAACGATACCTCTCAGATCTATGTATCCTAAATTTATATTTTTATACATAGTAAATAAAAAAGATTGTTGTATCCCTGTCATGCTCGTGTTTTGATTTTTTGAGAATCAACATGTCCTGTGTTTGGATCCGTGCTTCTTAAGATAGAACAAAATGCACGCATGGTAGAAACACTTCAACAGAATTTTGAAATAACATGAAATCTTCCAAGATTAGCACATGTAAAGTACAATTCTGGTAGGTAAGATATTGAAGCATGCTTGTAACACTGTAAGTCATGGACAAGGAAAATGTGATGATAGTTTGCCTTTGCATTCCCGGAAGTGAGGCCAAGGATATATGTGTCTCGTTGTCATAAGTAATATGCTCGTATACCTGTAGAACATCGACAAAACATAAAAGATCAATTGAAACAAGCAGTAGATTTTGGTTAACAAAAGAATGAAAAAATCAGCAATTTCCACATTCATTCACTTTTCTTGGTAATTAGCATTAAAAATAGGCCATTACATGTGGAAAGTTGTTTAGGGGATGGTAGATTTCGCTCATTAGAGAAAAATCCAATACCGGTAAAGAAATCTTCACTATTATACTAATGTTTAGGTCTCAACTCTAATCATGGAATTAGCACACTGAAGATGCATGATGTTCTAAGAAGATGAATTGATTGATTAGCACTCTGACTATTTTTTCACTTATTTGCTGTCTTTTCATATTTCATTAGGATATAACATGCCACTCTCATAACATCTTCTCATGCATATTTGTGAACAAAAGTGACAAATTGACTAAATGAAACCACAATATTGACAGTAATAGTTTTCATGAAGGTTCAATCTCCTGTAGTCACAACCTGGTCCTCAAGATCTTTCACTTTCCCAAATTTGATGAACTTCTTTTCCCCTTTTATTGAAACCCTCCCCCTTTATGTGTTAAATATATAGACAGCCCAGCTTTTTCAGTAGCTCTTGTCATCTATTCTAGTAGCTCTTGTCATCTATTCTAATCAGGTTAGGTTATGCTTCTCAAACCACTTCAACTTGCCATTTCAATCTTCAACAATGTATGCAATTGTGACTAGATGGTAACCACTGTCATAAAAAAAAGGACCATTGGGGCATTTGATTTGCTAAACAAAACCTTTCATATGGTCATCTTGATCTTGTTTTTGCTGTTTCCGAAACCCATTATTGTTCAGTTGACCACATGGGGTTGGACAAACCATGCATGTTTCTACTTCTTGTACTTGAAAGTTGAAACTATGCAACTGAGAATGCCTTATGGCATTCAACTAGGTCTCATTCTCATTAATTTACTAATAAGTATCATCCACCATCCCTGTGTCCATCTTTCTCCCTTAACACAAACTATGTGCTAACGCAGTGTGTACGCACTCTGTCTAGTCATAAACAATAAATGTCTCCAACTTTAGCAACATAAATCATAATCTAACCACCAAGTAGGTATTCAAGGATCCAACCATGTTCAGCAGCAATTCTTTTTCATTCTTTAGCCAAATTCACACTCATTTGATGCTATTGGAACTCACTAATACAGATGATCCAATATAGGACTTATGTTACACAATTCAAAACAGAGAATATAAACTCGAAGCACGTTTTGTGTCCTCATTTCGTAGTTATGGTTTGTGCGTATCTAAGAAACCCAATGAATTTGAGATATTTTTTCCATTTACAAGTTATGAGACAACTAAATTATCTAAGTCTGTTATACAACAAAGCATCAAGGAGAATGGAAATAACTATCACGTCATGTGGAATAACTATAATACTCGACAAGTATAAGAGAGATGATGTTAATATTCACGCTTCATCAGTTATAGCTAGGCAATCTCTGGTGTGGCAAGCTCCATCAATTGTCTCAAGCTCATCCTTGGTGAATACTTTTCCAGTTGAATTATGAGGGCTGTGCCATTATATATCAATACATTTTTAACTCATAAAGATATCATAAAAAAACAAAAAACAAAAAACGCACAATTAGTGCACATTAATGTGTATTTGGGAGGGGAAAGATATCATAATTACAAAAAATTGAACAATTCTAAACATTATTAAAAAAAACATCACCTAATGGTTCAAGCATCATTAGAGCTGTCTGTGCAATGTGCACAATAATTTTGATAATGCAAACTTTCATTGAATTCCAAACAAATTTTAGCCACTTAACCTTGAAGCTTAATGCCCTCTGAACTGAATATACAATTACACAGAAAAGAGATAATAAATTTATCATCACAAAGCACAACATAAACCAACCATATGACCAAACTAAATGTTGTGCTACACTTTATGAGATAATGGCATCAATAGCAGAAAATTACTAATGGTGGACAAAAGATGGCTACTTATTTGCTACAAATCTTTTATTGTAATTTCTGTCCTCCAAGCCTTTCGTATATTGCTTTGGAAGTAGTGGTGTTCTAGATTCAATATCAATTTCATTGAGTTTGGAATGGATGCATAAAGAAAATTAAGTTTATTGACAACACTTCGCATTGAATATTATAGGCAATCTTATACAAACTTAATTTAATAATTTACTTTATAATAAAATATTACATAACTTTAACTACAGAGAGAGACTCTAAGATAATTTAGAAAGCTTAACTTCTTAATTTTTTTAACTTTATTAAAATCAGAACACTTCTTTACATTATATATGAAAAAGTTAAAAAAAAATTAAAAAATCAACTTTTTTTACGTCTTCCCCAAACATCACATACATTCCCAGACAGGATTATACATGACAGAACCCAATAATATCTAACTAAAGAAGCAAAATTGAAACAAAGGCTTCTGGTAAATCCATCAAGGGCACAGCCCTGCTTGGATACTCAGTGAATGGTACAAGTAATAAAGGGTTTGCATGAATAATATCCGAGATCTTTATCAAAGCGATACACATTATATCTTGTACAAAATCAAAGACAAAACAAGTTCATCTAACAAATCTTTCAAGCTTCATCAATCAAAGTCTTTCGAGTCTTCCAAGTTTCAAGGGATGACATTAACCAAGGTTGTGTTACAAATGCTTATAGTCCCCTAGCACGTACGGACTTTCAAGGGTTGTGCTACAAATGCTTATAGTCCCTTAGCACGTACGGACTTTCAAGGGTTGTGCTACAAATGCTTATAGTCCCCTAGCACGTACGGACTTTCAAAGGTTGTTATCCAAAACAAGACTAACACTTGATACACAAAACAGGGATAATCATTCATACTTAACAAATACTTTTCAAAACAAAGCAAAACTTTATCAAAACTTTATAACATAGCTTTATTAAAAATACCACTCACATAGTTCTTCAAACGTCGGGGCTACAGGCAAGGATCCAAGTCCTACAAGCACATAACAAATCCCATTGAATGCACTATCAAACAATCCAAAACAAATCACACTGTGTTCCTCCATCTTGGAAAACATTAATGGCGCACCCTACCAGGTCCTTGGCCGAGGTCCCACGTCTCGATGGCCACATTCAAGGAAATGAAGTCGGGAAAACCTGGGTTTCCCTTTGAAGAACATGAATGCTAAGATCATAACTTCTTTATTCAAAATCTGAGATTTCATAAGATGAGTTCGAAAACATGGACTTGGGCACCCATACTTGAGGATCTTGTGAGAATAAACACAAAAACATGAATCTTAATGCAAACTTTCGGATCAAACAAGACTTTTTCTTCAAGAACACATGAATACCACTTTCTCTTTCTAAACCCAACTTTAAATCGATGCATGGCTTGCAAATCAGGTTCAATCATACAATGCAGCCAGATGATCAATAAGAACAACAAGAGTAGATTAAGATTCTAACCTCAAAACACGAATCAAACGGTTTGAACTCTAAGGATCAAGCTTGGAAATTTATTCCTCCTCTAAGAACTTCTCCTTCTTCTTCTTCTAGAGCTTCTCTCTCCTCACAAACAAAGACAGATAGCAAATAATACATTTCTAGGTCTGCTGGCTGACTTAACACTCAGCTGGGACACGTGGCACTACCGGGTTGGTTCTCCTAAAAAAGGTGGCTGAGTGAAAAGACAAGACTATGATAAAGTGTGTTCAACAAGCAAGATGGCATAGGCACTCCGGCAGGTAATGATCTCGGCTAGGAACAAGGCATCGGCAAGTAGGGGAACAATGATCTCGGCTAGGAAGGACAACACTTGACCTAGCTGTGCCACACCTTGGCCTAGATGTGCCACACCTCGGTCTAGGTCGTACCAACCTAGGAATAAGATCACTTGGGTTCAAGGATAACATCTCGGCCCGGATGATACACATCTCGGCCTTGGTGATGCACACCTCGGCCTAGATAATGTCATCTCGGCCAATATGCCAGGGCGAAGGTAGAGGTCAACCAAAGTGGTTCCATGGTGGTTCTAGGCTTAGGATGACCTCGGCTTGGAATAACCCCAAGATAATTCTAGACTAAAGATGACCTCGGCTAAACTCACACCAAGCAAGGTACAAAACATGCAAGAAACACTTAAGCAAAGCAAATCAAGGTTTTGCAAAAATGCAACATATCAAGACAAGATCGTGTAATATATGCAAGCATGACTAGAGTAGAGTGAGGGTTGTTACAGCATAGCCTTAGACATCCGAGTAGTGCTTGCCCTACCGGCAAGGAGGTCTTCTTCTTCTTCATCTCCTGTGCTCTATTCGCACGCTTTCCGATGCCGACACCGTTCGCTGGTTTTCCGGCGATCGATTTTTTTGGGAATCGCTTTTGCTTTTGCGTTTTGCGATTGTTTTCCTTCTCCTTCTCGTCCCTTGAAGATGATGAGCAAGTGAAGACCTTAAATATCCACTTCTTCCTTCCAGACCTTGAAGGCGAACTCATAGTTCTCTGTTCGCCATTGTTGGAGGAGTGAAGCTCGATGTTTGGTAGAGGACCCATTGCTATAGACTCGTCAGCCGAACTCATAGTTCTCTGTTCGCCATTGCTACGGTTTGAAAAGAGAACTATTGCTGCGAGTTCGAGAGCAGTAACGACAGAGAACCCCCACAACAACACTTCCAACATAGACATGTCAGTGATGAGGGATAGAAGAGAAAATAAAATTAAAAACAAAAAGTAGAAAGTTGAATACATCGTTGGATTTTTCCGTTTGTGAGAGGGTTGGGGTGAGTTTAGGACGGGTGAAAGCTCTGTGAATGAGAATGGTTATGCATTGCTTCCAATAAATATTGGAATTTAATTTTTTTAAAATTAACCTTTTATTTTTTTTATATTCTTGTTTGGAAATTTTTTTTAAAATTTCTATTTCAAAAAATGTTGCTTCATTTATTTTGGTTTAATTTAAGAATTTTGAAGTTTACTTATTTATTACCATTGGAATTTTATAGAAAGAGAATCCCAAATTTTAATTTTATATAAATTTTAGCAAGCAAAATATAAAAAATTTAGATAATTTTAATAATTTTTAAAAAAAAAAAAAAAAAAAAATTCACTATTCCGATCAACCGGCCGGTCGTCCCGTTAGGCCAAATTTTGAAAAAAAAAATTCTGAAAAGTGTGGCTACTGTAGAGAACTCTGCATTTCCAAAACACGTTCCAAACACCATACTGAAAACACAATGTAAAATCATATTTTGAAAACACAAACAAACAGAGAATTTTTAGTTGGCAAATGTTAACCAGTGGTCCTTAAGTACGATTTGATATTAAAAAATATATATATAAAATGATCTGAAAATATGTAGAAACATTAAAAATGAATATTTATTCATAATTTTTTTTACTTACTTATGTTTCACTTAATCAAATTATTTTTTTATATTTTAATAATTTTTATGGGTGACATACTTATTAAAATATTTCTAATAATAATATTCACATTGATAATATGAATATTCACACTATTAATGTGAACATTCACATTATCAAATATGAATGTTCACATCACTAAATTACTAAGTGTTTAAAAAATATTTATAAGAATAAAATTGTCCATAAAATACTTTAAATATGAGAATTAGGATTTAGTGAATTAAATGTCAAAATAATAGAACTTATTAGAGCGCAAAAATATGTTATGGACTAATTAGGATACAAGTACTTGAAAATATATTTCAAAATAAATCTCTCTATTAAAAAGGCGAAAATTACTCGAAAATTCCACTTTAAAAATCTATATATCATGAAATCTTTTTTTTTTTTTTAATAGACTAATAGGTCATGTTCATTTAGAAACATTTTCTATGAAATCCTATTTAATATATTATTGGGTCACGTTAAAGATGTTTTCGCTCTTATTGATTGTTAGGTTCATTTTTTTTTTCATATATATATATATATATATATATTTGAATGTGATTTTTGAATTGTGGCATAATGATTGATTTTCATAATGGGCAAGTTACATTTGGGTGGATTGAATGTAGAATGTAATTTGCCCAAACTAGTAATGCGACTATAAAAATTCTTTAGTTTACTTTTTTGAAATGTGACATGTGAAATGCGGTTTGATTTTCAAAATAGGCATGATAGAACACCTCTACCTAATACTTCAAATTTGATGTGACACTCTAATAGTCATATTTTGACGTCAAGCATCAATCCCACCCAGTATGTCAAATGTTAAGTTGGCATTTGACAAGAACTAAACATGTCAAATTTGACATACTTCATGTTGATGTCAAATGTTGAGTTCACCCATTAAAATGATTTTATTTTTTTAAAAATAATATAATAATATATTTGACATATCGGGTAGAGAGTTTTTTTGTCAAATTGACATATGCCAATTTGTCACCTAAGCCTTCAAAAAGATTTCATACACCAAATTTTGAAGTTTTGGTTAGAGATGCTCTTACATTTTCCAAACGTGGTTAATACAGAATAAATAAAAAAGCCCTTAGTGTACTTTTCCAAATGTGGTTAATCCATGTTACATTTGAGTGGATTGAATGTGGTTTGTCTATACTAGTAATGTCGCTATAAAAATCATTTAATGTACTTTTTTAAAATGTGACATATAGAATGTGTTTGATTTTTAAAATAGGCATATTATATTTTCTAAACGCGTCCAATACAGAACAAATTAAAAAATACTTAATGTATTTTCCAAACGTAGCTAATATAGAACAAATAAAAACCGTTAGTGTATTTTCCAAACGTGACTAATACAGAACAAATAAAAAAAATACTTAGTGCATTTTTTCCAAGCATAATTAATACAAAACAACTAAAATTTTGAAAATACAATAACATGCCTTACAAAGTAAATTACATGGGCAAATATGTTACTGATTGATCCACAAATTCACTTTCTTTAAATTATAAGTCAATCACCCTCTGTATTAATTTTAATAAAAATACATTAAAATTAATAAAAAAATATCTTATATTCTTTTCTTTCTTTCTTTTTTTTCAATCTTTTACTTGTGTCATATGGCTACTTGTTATCCTTTTAAGTTTCATAGTTCAAATGGTCTTTTTATTTGGTCCGATAAATATATTCGAAATTTTGTGCTCAATAATATGAGTTGGGTTAAATCTGACTGGTAACCGGTTACTCTGAGGTCAGGGCCTGTGGAAGCAATGATGCCCCCAAAAAGCTTCTTTTTTTATTTTTAATAATAATAAATAAATAAAAACATGTGGCAGGCTCCACATGAGCAGATTATAATTGCCATATGTTTGGCAACCAAACATTTAAACGGTGTTCAAATTATAAATTTTTGTAAGGATTTAAAACAAAATAAAATGAAAATAAAATTACATGAAGTATACTTACATTTTATTTATATTTTTCATTTAGCTTTTCAAATTCTTATCCAAATATAATCTAAAGTTAAAAAGTCATTATAAATAATCAAATCATTCTCTCTATTTTTTACATGTCCTTTTATAAAAATTCACTAAATAAGCCAATTTTTAAACAAATCCTTGTCTAGCCTCATATCTTTCTCTTTATGGAAGCTTGTTATAACCTATCTCGCCTCATGTCTCTCTCTTGTTATGGAGCCATTGCTAAATTATTTTTTGATCAAATTAAATGAATGCACGATTAGATTTATGATATGATTATGGATAGGATTATAGAAATAAGTTACATCAAGGGATAATAATTGAAATAAATGATTGGACAAAAAGTGTGAAATATTATATTTGATTAGAATGAAATAAAATGATATAATTATTTTTAACCATTAGAGGAAGAAAAATAATAATTCAGAGAGAGAGACTCATTCTTCTAATATTACACTACTTATGGTAATACTTGATCTCTCATTTTTTTTTCTTCTATTTAATCCTTCATATCAACACTAAAATTATTGGGAGCTTAGTATAATGCAAAACAAACATGGGATTGGACTATCGTGTGGGACTTATATTTTCTCCCCCTCAAATTTCTTCATTATTTTCTCACAATCAAATATCGAACTAACAATTCAATGAACCCCACATGTTTCCTTCACTTATAATCCTACTAATAGTAAGGTAACCAAACATATCTTATAGGAATTTTTTTTTTTAGAGTCAAGATTGTAGGATGTTAATTTATTAGTACAATTATATTACAACTAAAAAAGTTATTAATATTTTATTAGCTCAAATCTTTCTTAGGGTGTAATAATAAGATTACTTGACCAAATCCAAATTCTGCCATATAAGAATTTTTTGGGTAATTAGCCCTATAAAAATTGTTGGAGTTGAGATCTTCAATTTATCTGTCCCAATCCTTTGAACTGCCATTTTCCTATTGCCACGTGTTCTTCAGTAAAAAACAGATCCCTCTCTCGTCTCCTCTTACTGGTTTATTATAATAGTTTAGTAGTCGAGATTTTTAGATAAAAATTTAATTTAAATTATTTATTTATATCATTCCCTTTTTAAAAATAAATTTGATCCCCTTTTTCCCAACATTTTCCATCATGACAGAGAAATTAAAAAAAAAAAACAAAACAAAACAAAAACGTGGCCGCCCACCCTTCACCACCTAACCTTTCCTTTCTTGGATTCCATATCATTCCATCTTTTCCTTTTCTTTTTCTTTTCATTATCTTAATCCTTATCTCTTTCTTCATTTTTCTATAAGTGGAGCCAGTGAGGCTCACTTCTCCATATCATCTTCTTCCTCTACCGTTTCTTCATCCTCTTTGTATTCGGCTCTCTCCTCCTATAGATTGTGTAGGATAGAAATTTTAAACTTAGTTTGAGAGTTAATAATTTTGTGTAAGAGAATAGAGTTATTTTTGGAGGATCATGGAGCAATTTCAGGTTGATGGAAAAATTATTTTGAGGTAATTCAGGTGATATATAATATGTTTATTTTAAATCTCTTTGCAAAAAGTTATATTTTAATTATTTCCAACTTGTAATCCTCTTGATTATTGTGATTATTGATAAATTCTGTGAAATTATTTGTTATTGATTTGTTGATTATTCTGGTCATTTGGTAAAATTTTGTGAAAACATTTTGTGTTAAAAATAGTGATTTGTTTGACTGAATAACATGAAAATGTTCCATACATAGATCGAGTGGACCTTGTTAATTTGTTTAGACCAATATGCACAGATAAACGTGGTGCTTGGGTGAGGTGGGTAAATGAGTGAATTTGTCCACTGGTCATGTACTGAGTAGGACAGGGTATTTGGTCATTGATAAATTATCATATGTTGAGCTGATCTGTTCGTGCAATTTGGTAAATTGTTTGTTATAGTGAATCGTTGTGCAATGTTGTAAATTGTTGGATCTATGTCGATTTATTCTCTAACTAAGTTTTGTTATTCCTGTCGTATTATATACTTCCCGAATTAATTTATTTTTCCGGTGTGGTGCAACTTAATAGCAATTGGAGTTGAGGTACCAAAGAGATTATTTGAGTTAGATTTTGGGACTCATCACTATTATTATATTTGGAGATTGTCTAAATTATATTTTGTGCAATTATTTTTTGGGAGCATAATTGTATATTTTTTAGGTTGATTTATGTATTAACGGCCCGAAAAGTGAGGCGTTACAGTTTGTGAGTTCAGCTTTGCTCGATTCGTTAAGAATTTGACTTAACTCAATTCTTTAAGTAAATGAGTTTAAACTTAAATTTTTAGCTTGTTTAATAGACAAATTGAACTTGAATCTGAATAAACTTGATTCCTCCAACTCGGCTTATTATCTTTATTTAAATTATGGAATAATATATTATTTATATATTAAATAATACAAAATATGCATAAATAATAGCACAAATAAATTATTTATATGTTAAATAATATAAATAATATTTTAAAAAAAAATTTCAAGCCGAGGCGAGCCGAGCTCGAGCCCAATTCCTTATTGAGCTGAGCTCGAGCTCAATAAACGAGCTTGATAAGTAAACGAGCCGAGCTCGCAAGCCGAGCTCGAACTAAATAATTGAGACTGAAAAATAAGTAAGCTAAGTTCAAATTCTGCAAAGCTCAGCTTAATTCGATTTGTAAGCAACTCAAACGGCAATCATGGCATATTGTCGAAATTGTCACTTTCACCATTGACTAAGAGTTTGTGGTCATATGCTTTCAGTTAAATATCCTTTAAACCCTAAAATAGAATAATACTCTGAGGTGTTTGATAGTTGAATTTTTTTATTTATTTTTTTTATATATAATAAATGATTTGATACCTTGTATTGACTTTTTAACTTTTCTAACTAAACATCAAGGTTCTCAAACAAGTCTTAAGAGTCCCAAATAGTATATCTATTATTCTACACAATCCCCTTAAGAAAATTATACATGAGTTTGACACTCACACCATATTAGTTATATCTATACTATATATATAACCAAATATAGTTGTATTGGCAAAAGTTTTCAAATATTTATTATTAAATTCTCATAATTTTAAAATTCTCTTTTTCCTACGTGGCAACCCTCTTTGATTGTTTTTCATGTTTTCTATTTTCCTCCATTTTTTATTTGTTTGATTAATTAAAATAAAAATTAATTTCATGGTTTATGGATAAAGATTTGAATTTCAAAATTCCTCCATATAGATAAACATATAAAAATTAATAAATAATTTATGAAAATTAATTTCATGGTCTATAGATAAAGATAAAAATTAAGTAACTAATTTAAAAAAATTAATTTTTTGCTTCATTTAGTTTTGGATGTTTTCTTCTTCTTTGGAAATGTTGCTTTATTTCCAAAAATGTTGCTTCATTTATGGTATGTTATTTTGGTTTAATTTAGAAATTTTGAAGTTTACTTATTTACCATTGAAATTTTATAGAAAGGGAATCCCAAATTTTAATTTTATATAAATTTTAGCTAGTAAAATATAAATAGTTTAGATAATTTTAATAATTTTTTTTTTTAATATCAGTGATGCTAGATCAGCTATGGATTAAAAAAGGGAAAATTACCTACACTTGTCTTGAGATTTAATGAAATTACAGATTCTCCCCAAGGTTTTAAAAATTACATCCCGCCCCCTAAAGTTTCTAATTTCATAACAAACAGATCATTTTATTAATAAATCATCAAGTTAATTAACATTTTTAATAATGTTAAAATTTTATTTCAATTAATAATTAAGATAATTTTATTATTGTATAGGTGAACAGTTAGAAATTGCACTTTTTCAATTAATTCTGTTAAATAAAAAATTCTGACGGAGAGGTATTTGTAATTTTTCAAATTACAGGGGGAAATTCATATTTTAAATAAATCTCAAGAGGTGTATTTGTAATTTATCCATTAAAAAATGAATGAGAACGGTATCAGTAATATGCAAAAATGAGAAGAGTAACAATGGTGGACAGAAAAAATAGATAGAGGGATGGAAATGGGTTGGGGAAAAAGGTTAGTCATGGACAATGATAAGAATTGGAGGTGATTTTTATTGGAAAAAAAGAAGTTAAATTGTACATTTTTTTATTAGTTATATTTAACTAATAAAAATAGATAGTTAAAAAAAGAAACCATTTTGATAGTATAAAAATAAATTTAAATAATTTATTAGAGCATCTCCAATGTTTTATTCAAAATTTTTCTCAAATTTCACTTATATTTGATTAAAAAAAAGTTTGATTTGATATCATGTGTTCCAATGAAATGATTTAGGATTTGATCAAACTATGAGTCGATTGGGAGGACGACCAGGGGATTCTTTGAAAAGTAGGTTAATAGTTGGTTCTCAATTTTTAAATTAATTTAGGTTATATTACTTCTCATATTTTTTACATATTTAAAAAAAATTAAAAATTAACTTTTAACCATCTTTTTAAAACAACTTTACCTGTCGTGCGTTGCCCATGCTAATTGAATGTTTGTTGGGGTTTGCTTGATTTTGTTTTTGATTTATTTTCATCTTTAAATTATTTTCTTTTTAAATTTTTTTATACAAAATCAGCCTTTTGATGACATCAAAAAATTAAATAGTTATTAACAAAAAAAAATAATGAATTTTTTTGTGTGCTTATTTTGACTTTTAAATTTTTTTTATATAACTTTTCAAAAAAAAAAAAAAAATTGAATTCGTTTACTTGAGGTGAATAGAAATTTTTTTTTTTGGACATACTTCTAAATAAAAAATTACTAAAGATAAAATGACTTTTTTTATGTGATTCCAAACACTTTATAAAGGGTTATTTTTAGAAAATGTTGCTTCTTTTAGTTTTGGATATTTTTTTCTAAATCAATTAGTCCTTTTATTTATGATATGTTGTTTTGGTTTAATTTGGGAGTTTTGGAGTTTACTTATTTACCCTTGGATGGGATTTTGGTTTTGATTTTTTCTTGATGTTGTGGTGAGTTGGTTATTGTATGGTGTTATTTTCAATTTTTTGTGGGGGATTGTGTGGAGTAATTTAGGTAAAGAAGTGAGGAAGTTGGAAGGAGGGAGGAAGGACGAGAAAAACAAAAAGGGGTTCATTGGTTGGTGTAATTTCAGTAATAAATTTTAAGTTTTATTTAAATTTATCTTTCTTTTGTATTGTAGTCTGTACTTTTTTTTTTAATTGAAGAAAATCACTGAGCGAGAAAAACATTTAGAATGAGATAGGAAAAATTCTAGAATAGGCCAGTGTCTTCCTTGATTTTTTAAGTACGTATTTGTTTTCTTTTTTTATTTGGGGAGAGAGGTTTTGGTTGGCGGAACCTTCTGGGATTCTTCTTAGTAAAAACAAAAAAAATGATTTTGTTTCTATATCTTCTGTATATCTTTGTTGAGTTGCTATTGTTATATATAAAAGTGATGATTTCTCAATGTTTTATACTTAATTAATCAAATTTTGTGTTGCAATTGCATCAAGACGGAATGGGGTAGCCTTCAATCACTATGTGATATTGGTTATATAATAATCGAAACCAATTACGTAAAGAAATTTTTTATGAGTGAGATATATTGACTTACTTTGTTAAGTAGTTGGAAACAAAATATGACCGACCCAGTTAGTATGTGTTGCATCAAATATATTAAAAAATGATATCATCATCTTTTATGTTGAAATTTATATTTTACCTATATTATCGTGATTATAAATCATCAGTAATAATATTGAACACCTTAGTTATAACTAAGGATCACAAATATCATAATTGTATCATAAAATAAGGTGACAGAACTTCCCATAATTCAAACAAGCCTAAGCTTTAATTAGTAATTCCGATTCACATCATGAAATGTGATTGAAGTCCATAAACATATGAGCAATGTGATTTACAAACAAAAAATATATATATAATTTGTATCAAAATAATATAACAATGATAATCTTAAAAATATGGTTGACTATGATAGAATCCAAAACTACTATACATTGTTCTAGATCAAAATTTTATATAAATTTTCTCTCCTGCGCTCCATGAACAACCAGAGAAATCACAGCTTCTAGAAGGAATATACATTAACTCCATGAACAACCAGAGAAATCACAGCTTCTAGAAGGAATATACATTAACTATGTTTACTTGTGGTGGTTTTGTTCTTGTTTTTTTCTTTTTCTTTTTCTTTTTTAAATTGTAGATTTGTATCAACTGTCTCCTTTTTTTTGTTTGTTGATATTACCTTGCTTGATCCTGATGATGACGATGTTGATTTTGGCCATAAATACATTAAAAAAAATATTTTGCTAAAAAGTGACTTGGTCACAAGATAATAATAATAATAATAATAATAATAATAATAATAATAATAATAATAATAATAATAATAATAATACACTTTTTAATCTTCATCAATTTCAAAAAAAAAAATCATTAATTTTAAAATGTTTTTTACATTTTCAAAAGACCATTTACTTTAATTTTTTCACTTTTAACTTTTTGATAATTTTAAAAAATTAAGCACAAAAAAGGTGTTTTATATCACTTTTTTTTTAGCCTTTATATTTGTAGATTACTTAACTGTTTCCGTTATGAGGGCTGTACCATTATATATCAGTACATTTTTAACTCGACATAAAGATATCATAAAAAAACAAAAAGCGTCCAATTAGTGCACATTAATGTGTATTTGGGAGGGGAAAGATATCATAAAGATATCATAATTACAAAAAATTGAACAATTCTAAACATTATTCAGAAAACATCACTTAGTGGTTTAAGCATCATTGGAGCTGTCTGTGCAGTGTGCACAATAATTTTGATAACGCAAACTTCCATTGAATTCCAAACAAATTTCAGCAAAGACACAAGTCCAAAAAAATAACTTCATCACCTTTGTCTATTACTGTCCAACAGAACAATTAAATAATTATACACAAGTCCAGCAAAGACACCATACAATACATAAGAATCTCACATAATAAACCATCTAAGATAAGAAAACATACTTGCAAACATTGTTGCTGCAAATGCCTCAGATTGACCATAGCAAATAGCTATATCCGTTAGAGGGTTGAAATCTAAGCCATGCATATGTTTCATAATCTTTGCCACATCGTCACAAATTCCTTGAACATGCCTTGAGTAACCAAAAAAACCTTCAATTTTTCAACCAAAACAAAAAGAAAAAGGAAAAATTTCGAAGGAATGTACAACTATCATTGGGTAATATTGTTATTGAGCTAGGCTATTTCAATGACTTGCTTAATATAACACATGAGATGAATGTACGAGCACACCAACCCTAAACAGTATTGAAAGTGGCATCTAAAAATGGGAACAAGAAACATTCTATAATCAAAATACCATGGTAGAGTGGATATTGTAAAAACTTTATTCTCAAATTTTAGCTACTTTAGGAAGTGAAAATTGAAAAATTCATCTCCAACAGTCTCCCTAAGGTTGTGTTTGGTTCCTGGATTTGGAAAGCTATTTGAAAAATAATAGGAAAAAAGTGTGTGAAATGTAGTTATATTTTATTCATATTTCACTTGCTTTTTCTTTTTTCCTTTCCAAATCCCTACCTAAATCCATAAACCAAACACAACATAAAGAGGCTCTTAAATTTACCAATAGCAACTCTTATAACACACCATTAGAGAAGCTCAAATGTTCTATTTGGTTCACTGGAATGAGATGGTAATGAAATTCCGTAGGCTTTCCTATGGAATGATAAATGGTGATTCTATTTACAATATATATATACATATTTTTTTTAGTCAACCAAACATGAGAATGGACACTTTCATATAATGATAATTCCACTCCACTACTAGGAACGTAAAAATTTGAGTAAAACTAATTTACTTATAGGAAATTTAGGCAAATAAATATCATAAATCTTATTTGATAGATCAAATAATTTTAAAAATATTAATTTTATTAAAAACTAAAATCTAAATAAAAGCTATATTATTTTAGTACTCATAGTATGTGTTAATTTTTCAAAACAAACTTTTTGTACTTGCCCTTAATCCATTAAAATTTTATTACGAGGGCTCTGATCAAATCCCCTTAGACATATTTCTCAAAGTTTTATTAAGAGTGGCTTTGGCTAAATCCCCCTTTACTTCCTTTACTTTTTTCAGACATATTTCTCAACCTACAAAAGGGAACATGAAAATAAAAGCCGAACAATGATTTCACAGTAAGTTAATATTATAATATGAAGCTCCAAGGATGTCATTCAAGGCTAAAGTTAAGTTGAAGGGGAGTTTGGGAGGGAGAGAAACCTGTATTGATTGAAGTCGGGAACAATGGCGGAGATGGTGGCGTTCTTGATGTGGAGAGGAGCAGGGAAATCGGGGAAGCCTTCGGCGAGATTGACGGCATTGCATCTCTTGGCAAGTGGCGACAGTTGTTGAATTGGAGAAGGAGGAGGAGCAGGGAATTACACCCAAATAGCATCACTACCCCGTTAAGTCCTCGAAAGACCTACAACGAAGTCCATCGTGACATGCTCCCATTTCCACTCGGCTATAGGCAAGGGTTGCAACAAACCCGCTGGCCTTTAATGCTTGACCTTCACTTGCTAATAAGTAAGGCAGTTAGACACGAAAACAACCACATCTTTCTACATCCCCCGCCACCAAAACTGGCGACCCAAATCACGGTACATCTTAGTGCCTCCCGGATGCACCGCAAGGTGTGAATGGTGAAACTCTCAGAGTACCTTCTCTCGGCAAGACTCCGGTACAAACGAACGGCCTCGGCATCTCACACTCAGGTCGGGATACACAGTCAAACCCTTCTCAACCTTCCCACTGGAGATCTTCTCCCGGAGGGATTCTACCTCAAGGACACTCCTTTGTGCCTCTAACACTCGATTCACAAGTGTGGGCCGTGCAACTACAGAAAACAAGGTCGCAGACTCAACAGATTCGCCCAGGAGCAAATCAAGCTCGCCAAGTGCACCCAACATTTCCCACTCCCGGATGGCCATACAAGCTACATCACTAATGGATTTCCTACTAAGGGCATCAGCCACAACATTGGCTTTACCCGGGTGATAGTGCAACTCAAAGTCGTATCTTAATGGAGCTACGAGCTCTGACATTCCAACTAATAATCTTCATTTAGAAAACTTCTTTAACCCTAGCTTCCTTTGACCTACCATCATAATTAATACCAGCTTTTAAATTTTCCAATTCCTTATCACCTTGTTTTAACTGCCCCACCCCTCTTGACCGTCCCCCTAGTTAAACTAAGGACAAACAATCAAGAGGAAACATGTAACTTTCAGTTTATGTAATAAGAATTGGTCCATGTTTGAAAATACCTGAAGTTTAGGAAGCAACACATGTAACTTCCGAAACAGATATGGATCCATTAACCATATTTTCAAAATTTTCTATATAAGGAGTGTCATTTGGTCTTGTAAAATAAGAAGTTTTGAATATAACAGAAATATATTCCTTCTTCCTCATATTTTCGGAGTTCTTCTTCCTCATATTTTCTAAGTTAGTATTTTGATAACACTAATTTGTCATTTGGGATTGTTTTAATGATTTTTTTATCATTTTTTTTTATTGTCTTTGGTAAACTTATTTTTTAAAAATTTTAGGAAAATTACAATAAGTAAATAAACTCCTAAGATTTGAGTCTTGTAACCAAAAAAAAAAAATCATGAGTTTTTAATTTTATTAATTTAAACCTTAATTTTTTTTAATTTTCAATTTAAATCATCAATCTATTTTTGTTAAGTAAAAATGACAAATATATATATGATATTTTAGTCACTAAACTCAATGAAAAAATGTATTTTAGACAAAAATAGGTGTACAAAAAAATGTACACCTACGTTGAGTATAATAACAAAAATAGTTTTTTTTTTCGTCAGCTCACTTAACAAAAATAAGTAAATAGTTTATATTTAAAAAAATTAAAAGATTATAATTTAAATTGACAAAATTAAAACTCAACGTTTATTTTGTTATAAGGTTAAAACTCTGATTTTTTTTTTTTGGTGGTAATTTATCCTTTTTTTTTTCTCTCAAAAACTCAAGACGAATCACTAAAGTAAAAAACGAAAAAAAACATAAAATATAAAAATTTGTAAAAACGTCTAGTATAGACAAAGAAAAAAAAAAAATTTTAAAATTAGATATTTTTTTTCTCCTTACCTTCTTTTTTGTGTGTATATGTCTTTAGTGAATTTATTTTGGATTTTTTCAATATTTTTTTCCTTCCATCCTAGACAGACTGTAAAATGAACAATTTTAATACAAATTTAAAAAAATACTAACAACAAAAAGTATAAATTACAAATACATCTCTTAAAGTTTATTTAAAATAAGGTTTGCCTCTTATGGTTTTGAAAATTATATCCCACGTCTTGAAGTTTGTAATTGCATAACAAAAAACCTATTTTATTAATAAATAATTATGTCGATTCATAGTTTTTAATGATATTAGAAATATATTTTAATTAATAATTTAGATATTGTTATTATTGTATAGAAGAGTAGTTAAAAATTTTATTTTTTCTATAAATTCTGTTAAATAAAAAATTAGAATAAATGGATATTTGTAATTTATAAAATCATAAAAGGCAATATATATTTTAAGTAAATAGTAAGAGATATATTCGTATTTCATCCTAATAAAAAAGTTAAGATAAATTATAAATACACCCCTCAAATTTACTTAAAATATGATTTGCTCTTATAGTTCTAGAAATTACATCCTGACTTTTGAAGTTTTTTAATTTCATAACAAATACTCATTTTATCAACAAATCATCAAACCCATTAATAGTTTTTAATTATGTCAGAAATATATTTCAATTAATAATTCAAAAAATTTAGTATTGTATAGGAGAGTAGTTAGAAATTTTATTTTTGTAATTAATTTTGTTAAATAAAAAAAATTCTTTCAAGGTATTTATAATTTGAATAATTTTAGGAATCATAAAAAAAAATATTATAAAGATTTTTTATCATTTGATTAAAGTGTGATATTTTATTATATGTCTAATTTAGAAATAGAGAATGTATCATGATCATTTTAATGATTTTTGTTATAATATCTAACATTACACTTATAATTTGAAAAATTATAGGAGAGAATCTATATTTTAAGCATGTACAGTTGGGTGGTAAACGAAGCCTAAATCCAAGCAAACCCACAGTCAACGGAAGGAAGAGTCATCGATGACGAATTCCACAATTGGTGCTTCACTCTAAAACTACAGAAGAACTAACTCAGACTTAAAAGTGCTGGGTGTCAAGAAGTAGTGAAACAGTGGAGAATTTGGTAATAGATTGCAAAAATGGCCTCACCGGGGGTGGACCTTTTGATTGGGAGGATAGTTTCCGCACTTGAAAGCGAAGCATCGTTGATTGGAGGAGTTCGTGATGAACTCAATCAACTCCAGCAGGAGTTATCAAGCATGAGATCTTTTCTAAAGGATGCCGATAGAATGACGGCCCAGACAGAAGGAGAGAAGACCTGGGTGGACAATGTTAGAGACTTGACCTACAAGGCTGAAATTATCATAGACGAGTTCATGTATCACATGAGCAAACAAGAAGTTCAAGGTAAATTCAGAAGGCTCCTCTGTCAGATAGTCTATGCACCAAAGAATCTGTGGGTAAGACATCGAATAGCCACACAGTTACAGGAGATCAACAACACGATCAAAGCTATCCCAGAAAGAAACCAACGTTATGGGATCGATCGTGTAGGAGGAGCAAACTCAGGCTCAGGCTCAGGCTCAGGCTCAGGCTCAGGCTCAGGCTTTGGCTTCGGTATCGTTTTCGGCTCAGGCTCTGGCTCCCATGATCATCAGGGACAGAAGCCAAACAACGCTGAGGACACTTTATTTGTTAAAGATGATAATCTAGTGGGGATCGAAGATAGAAAGCGACAACTACTGGGCTGGTTGATGGACAAAGAACTACAGCGCGCTGTTATTTCTGTTGTCGGAATGGGTGGTTCAGGCAAGACCACTCTAGTTGCCCAGGCCTATAAGAGCCAAACTGTCAAGCAATATTTCCACAGCTATGCATGGATAACCGTGTCTCAAACATATGTAGTTGATGACTTACTTAGAAGCATGATTAAGGAATTCTACTCTGCCACCGAGGAAGCAGTTCCATTGGATTTAAGTCGTAAGAGCCACAAAGAGTTGCTCGAGATGATTTCCAACTATTTAAAATCTAAAAGGTATTTAGTTGTCTTGGATGATGTATGGAGTCAAAACCTCTGGCAGCATATAAGTGTATCACTTCCAGATGAAGGAAAAGGAAGTCGGGTCATCCTTACAACCCGAAAGGAAGACGTAGCTTCCTTTAACTTTGGGGTTAAACGTCATGTTCATCATATGAACCCTTTGGGTGTGGATGACGCATGGGATCTCTTTTGTATGAAAGCTTTTTCGAGCAACCGTAGTAGATGTTGTCCTAAAGAGCTCGAATCCTTGGCTCATGACCTTGTTGCAAAATGTGAAGGACTACCTCTTGCAATTGCAGCTTTGGGTGGTGTCATGTCCACCAAACATATGGAATCGGATTGGAGAAAAGCTTATAAGAGCTTGAGCTGGGAGTTGAGCTATAATCCTGAGCTAGAAGCAGTGAAAACTATCTTGTTGTATAGCTTTAATGAGTTGCCATACCAACTAAAGCATTGCTTCTTATATTGTTGCCTTTTCCCAGAAGATTATCGGATTCGACGGAAGAGGCTTATTAGACTTTGGATGGCAGAAGGATTCGTAGAAAAGAGAAAGGGGTTAACAGCAGAGGAAGTAGCAGATAGCTACCTTATGGATCTAGTTTGCCGAAGCATGCTTCAAGTCATAAAGAGGAACCCATCAGGTAGGCCGAAAGAATGTAAGATGCATGATCTTGTGCGAGAAATTGCCCTTTCCACATCAGAAACTGAGAAGTTTTGTGTTGTATATGATGGCAAAGAAGCTAAGGAAGAAAGTGGAACCGGAGCACGTCGCTTATCGATTCAAACAAATGGTGGAGAATTGCAATCATGGAAGGGCATGTTGCAACAGCTTCGGTCTCTTCTTGTATTTTATGACGATGAGATATCATTGCCACGAGGCTTACGACTGTTAAAAGTCTTCGATCTGCAGGATGTACCAATCGAAAAATTACCAAATGAGCTTGTGGATGTTTTCAATTTAAGGTACTTGAACTTGAAAAGAACAAAGGTGAAGGAACTTCCAAAATCCATTGGAAGACTTTGCAACCTTGAAACTTTAGACATTAGGGATTCCAAAATACAAGTTCTCCCAACTGGAATCACAAAGTTGAAGAAATTGCGGCATCTAATAATGTACCGCTATAACCGTGGAGGTGGCAATCAGTTTGAATATGTTTATGGTACAGCAGCACCAGCAAATATTTGCAAGCTAACAAACTTGCAAGTTTTGGCATGCGTAGAAGCAGAACCAGACTTGATGAAGCGACTAAGGAACATGACGCAGCTCAAGAGGATTGGCATTACAAAGCTGAGAGAAGCAGATGAGGTGGATTTGTGTATTGCAATCCAAAAAATGAATCTCCTTCATTACTTATGTGTAATGATGAGTGATGAGAATGAATGCCTCCGAATGGATAAACTCTCCTCTGCTCCTCCCTATCTCAAGACCCTCATTTTAGTTGGAAAATTGGAGAAAGTTCCCCGTTGGTTTGACTCACTTCAAAATCTCACGAATTTGTATTTGCATTGGTCCAGACTGGAAGAAGACCTTCTTCCTTGCATCCAAGAACTTCCCAGTTTGGGAAAATTGACTCTTATTAATGCATGTGAAGGAAGACAACAGCTATGCTTTAGTACTGGGTTCCCTAAACTTAGGAATTTGCATTTGCGGAACTTCCCCCAGTTAAATGAGATTATTATAGAAAAAGGGGTGATGCCAGCTCTCCGGGAATTTTTGATTTCGGAATGCATGCAGTTGAAGATGTTGCCTCATGGTATCGAGTATATCAAATATCTCCAAAAATTGACTTTAAAATTTGTTACAAATGAACTCGTAGAACAAATACGTGGAGAAGAGAGCGAGGAACACCCACAGGTTGGACACATACCATGCATCAACATTATCCCAAAGAGCCCAACCAACTCATCCCACCACTCCACCCTTATATTAGGTCTATTAGACCCATAAACGCCGATCAACCACCACTCACAATTATCAGAATTCCTAAATCCAATTGACAATGAAAACTCCCCTGAAACAATCTAACAATCACAAGCAACTCTCTCATCCCAAATAATCAAAATATCTCCTGAAGTGCCACACAATCGCAACATATCCCATTTTCTCAACCTATGTCCCCGAATACTTCTAATCAAGCGACTATCACACTTATTAATTTTGACTCTTGAAATAGAACCATATCTGGTTGTTGCTTATTAAGAAAATTTTTAATCAACCCCCCTCCTCTTGACCACCTTTATCATAAAGAACAGGGAAATTTTCCACAATTCTCTAGGGAAAAATCCCTGCTTATCCAACGAATTAAGAAAAGAAAACATGTGAATTCCAAACACCAAACAACATGGGAAAAAGAAGAAAATGAGGAGGGACACTAAGTGATGAATACCAACACAATATAGGTCTTAATTCTAAAACCAATGAAGCAGAATAAAAACCTCACAAAACACTCTCATTGGAATTCTAAAATGCCATGTAAGAAAATAGGAACAACTCAATATGTCCAAGATGCTTTTTCCTTTTCTAGAAAATATTCAGGGCATTGTAGATATTTATATTTTGCACCATATGTTGATATAAACAAAAAACACAAACAAACAAACTATTAGTTTGTTTTATCATTCCAATCCACTTTCTTAGATTGTTTTATAATGTAACACCATCTTGTTCATATTCTTTAATAGATAAATACATATGCCAGTGCCTTGTCATGGTCCCCTATGCAATGATGTCCATCTCCCTGTCTTTCTTCAATGGAACGTCATAATAAAATACTACATGCATCACAATTCCACAACAAAATTAAGTTTACAATCTTCATGTCTTGTAAAACGAATAATAAATTCCATATTTCTTGTGCTTAAAACACAAATATCCATATAGTACAATCCTATTAAATATTTGCATATCAAACATTTGTTGGAATGACATATGTGCTTGCTATTATCCAAAACCTATTTACATTGCTAAGAAAGATAAGAAGAAGAAAAAAATTGTCTGCCCTGGGTCACTTCATCATTGGAAATATTAATATAGGTCATATTATCTTTGTTACTTCGCTCTAGGTGGAATCCTTGTGTTAGCTTACCATACCACTCCATATTTTAGTTTCCTAGTAATGCTACAAAACCAATTAGATAGTCTCACTTCAGTCCAGATGGTTGACCATCTATCTTTACAATAAAAAGTTTACTATAACAAAATAAGTTGGATGCAGATATTACTCAGACCGTAATTAAATAAGACTACCATTCAAGAATGCATTGAAGATGAAACTCATGCTTGCAACCAGTCACCTGTAAGAGAAAGATACAGTTAGTTTTGGGGAAAGCCTTACTCAACTGATGATAAAGAGATATAATCTCCAACATATATACCGTTGAAGGATCACTTTCACAAAATGCTTCAAGGCATATGCTACAAGCATCATCACAAGCTTCTTGAATCCCCCCTTCCACAAAGGCCGCAGCCGATGTTAAATGGTTATCAGACTTTATGCCCTCTTCCATCTTTCCAACCTTCAAGAAGAACACAAAGTTTACTACAGAAAACTTTTAAATGATCCCAAGCAACTCACACTTCCAAATAATCATATGTACAACAATAGAAGGATATTGGCAACAATGGTTTTGCGGAGCAATGTACAAAAGTACAAAGCTTCAAATGGTAGTACATGGGTCTGATAATACTGATATAGTTCATACCAGGAGTAGTTACGAGTAGGTCTTGTGGACCGGACTTATTTACCAAAACGTTCTACTCCAATTTTCAGTGATAAATTTATCATTGTGATTTTATTTTATTTTTTTAAAAACAATTCAATTACTTACACTTCCCAAATCATATTTCAATAGAAACTAACACAAATAAATCAAAATTCATAAACAAAAGCCAAAATATCCCAATCATTTATCATTTTGATAAATTTATCAGTATAATCACCAATACCAAATAATCATTCCACAAACACCACACATCTAGAAAGTCTCAAAATTTTCTCATTGTCAAAACAAGGGGCAACTAAAATTTTAAAAAAATACTCAAGACTAGTGAGTAAAGAAGTCCACGTAATAGGACCTACAGTGGTAATTAACCCTTCATACAAAGCCCAAGTACAATAAATTTTGAGAATTTTCGAAACCATGCATAATCATGCCTTATTCATCGCTTGCCCTACCTTCAAACCCCATCTCACAAGCCTAGCTTATGATTTGCACGCAAAAGTAAACCAATTTAACCCTGTTTACAGTTCATAAGTCTTGCCTAATTATAACCCCAATGTCTACCCTTCTGTTACCCCCATGCTAACCCTAAATACCCAATTTTATTATTAACCTCAGCAACTAAAACTAACGAAAATCAGTCCCACAAAACCAACTACCATGTTGTCCGACCATAGTATAGTATCAAAGCTCAAGGCTTTGCCCCTATGTTCTCACAAAAGGGATATGCTATTTGCCTAGACACACGGATTGCAACTAAGATTATATAATCCATGATATCATCCAACAAATGGACAATGTCGTCACTCGAGCATCTTAATGAGAGACAGAACTTGCATAAAAGTTGCTTTTGTCCAACCAGCTCCAATACTATAACAAATGGTGATCCCAAAAAATCATTCAATGTAACAGTTCAGCATCGTGTGAGCTAGGATTTGCAACTGAATGACAATAATCAAAATCAACCCAAAGTAAACAGATTATCAAGATGAAGAACATCAGACTAATGGGGCCAAAGCACCTCAAACACTCAACAAGCTATGATTGAAATAAACTTTATATTAGTGGAAGAAGAGATGATGAAAACAGAGTTCAAGAATGATGTCATTAGAGGGGAAAATCAAAAAGAAGTCAACAAATACAATAAAAAAAAAATAAAAATTAAAAATGAAAGAGATTCAAGTAAATGTGCAATCTACTGCAGTCCAACATGTAAATTCATCAAAGAATATCTCCTCTTCTCCCACTACTCCAACAATTTATCTTATTATACCATAAATATCTAATATTAGATTTGCGAAAGTTATCTCCAAATTACTTCTTTACTACCTCAAATACCAAACCATTGATGCAAGTGCAAAGCTATTTAAATAAATGACACTTTGAAGCAAAAATTTAAATTTTTAATAGCATTATTTGCAATTACTAATTTATTATCATAGTAATATTTGAAAAAAATATATATATTTAGTGATCGACTCAATAAATATAAAAATCAATTTTTTATCCACACAAAATAAGAATGCAAATATCAGCCAATACCCTCATCCAATGGGTAAAAGGAATGAAATTTCATACTAGTCATGTGAACCAAATATGGAACCAGGCAAGATGGGCTTGGGATGCCATTCATACCCTCAATTCATGTCACCCAGTTGTTAGGAAGGTGTGTGATGTCTATGATGGATCCGGGAGTGATGCCTAGATTTTTACTTCTACTTGCTTCTTTTCTTTTCCTTTTTGCACTTTATTAGCCTATAGAACCCCTGAACCATATATGATTCATCACTTTTCCCGCCTTTAAACTATGTTTTACAAGGCTAACCTATTACTCCTCCTACCATTCAACCATAACATACAAAAACTACACCAAATCAGCCATATCAGCCCTTAATTACTGTTCACCTTTAGTGGGCCCAGTAAACGAACAGGCCAAAACCTTTGTCTTCATGCCTACCCCCATAAGAACCCTTAGTTCCAACATGTTTATCAAGCTGTTCACATGCAAAATTTCACACAATCACACCACTTAACACACGAATTACCAATATCAATTGAGCAACAGATATGCGCAATTCAGAAAATTAGCTCACTTTTCAAGGGAAAAAAAAAATCAATAAACTCAATAAATTGAGGCCTAGACCATATATATAGCATTGAAAACCACAAAATCAGTTCACACTTCAAGACATTAAACAAATGAATAAGATTTTAATTCTGGAACGTATATGGAGTCAAAACCTCTGGCAGCATATAAGTGTATCACTTCCAGATGAAGGAAAAGGAAGTCGGGTCATCCTTACAACCCGAAAGGAAGACGTAGCTTCCTTTAACTTTGGGGTTAAACGTCATGTTCATCATATGAACCCTTTGGGTGTGGATGACGCATGGGATCTCTTTTGTATGAAAGCTTTTTCGAGCAACCGTAGTAGATGTTGTCCTAAAGAGCTCGAATCCTTGGCTCATGACCTTGTTGCAAAATGTGAAGGACTACCTCTTGCAATTGCAGCTTTGGGTGGTGTCATGTCCACCAAACATATGGAATCGGATTGGAGAAAAGCTTATAAGAGCTTGAGCTGGGAGTTGAGCTATAATCCTGAGCTAGAAGCAGTGAAAACTATCTTGTTGTATAGCTTTAATGAGTTGCCATACCAACTAAAGCATTGCTTCTTATATTGTTGCCTTTTCCCAGAAGATTATCGGATTCGACGGAAGAGGCTTATTAGACTTTGGATGGCAGAAGGATTCGTAGAAAAGAGAAAGGGGTTAACAGCAGAGGAAGTAGCAGATAGCTACCTTATGGATCTAGTTTGCCGAAGCATGCTTCAAGTCATAAAGAGGAACCCATCAGGTAGGCCGAAAGAATGTAAGATGCATGATCTTGTGCGAGAAATTGCCCTTTCCACATCAGAAACTGAGAAGTTTTGTGTTGTATATGATGGCAAAGAAGCCAAGGAAGAGAGTGGAACCGGAGCACGTCGCTTATCGATTCAAACAAATGGTGGAGAATTGCAATCATGGAAGGGCATGTTGCAACAGCTTCGGTCTCTTCTTGTATTTTATGACGATGAGATATCATTGCCACGAGGCTTACGACTGTTAAAAGTCTTCGATCTGCAGGATGTACCAATCGAAAAATTACCAAATGAGCTTGTGGATCTTTTCAATTTAAGGTACTTGAACTTGAAAAGAACAAAGGTGAAGGAACTTCCAAAATCCATTGGAAGACTTTGCAACCTTGAAACTTTAGACATTAGGGATTCCAAAATACAAGTTCTCCCAACTGGAATCACAAAGTTGAAGAAATTGCGGCATCTAATTATGTACCGCTATAACCATGGAGGTGGCAATCAGTTTGAATATTTTTATGGTACAGCAGCACCAGCTAATATTTGCAAGCTAACAAACTTGCAAGTTTTGGCATGCGTAGAAGCAGAATCAGACTTGATGAAGCGACTAAGGAACATGACGCAGCTCAAGAGGATTGGCATTACAAAGCTGAGAGAAGCAGATGAGGTGGATTTGTGTATTGCAATCCAAAAAATGAATCTCCTTCATTACTTATGTGTAATGATGAGTGATGAGAATGAATGCCTCCGAATGGATAAACTCTCCTCTGCTCCTCCCTATCTCAAGACCCTCATTTTAGTTGGAAAATTGGAGAAAGTTCCCCGTTGGTTTGACTCACTTCAAAATCTCACGAATTTGTATTTGCATTGGTCCAGACTGGAAGAAGACCTTCTTCCTTGCATCCAAGAACTTCCCAGTTTGGGAAAATTGACTCTTATTAATGCATGTGAAGGAAGACAACAGCTATGCTTTAGTACTGGGTTCCCTAAACTTAGGAATTTGCGTTTGCGGAACTTCCCCCAGTTAAATGAGATTATTATAGAAAAAGGGGTGATGCCAGCTCTCCAGGAATTTTTGATTTCGGAATGCATGCAGTTGAAGATGTTGCCTCATGGTATCGAGTATCTCAAATATCTCCAAAAATTGACTTTGCTTTTTGTTACAAATGAACTCCAAGAACAAATACGTGGAGAAGAGAGCGAGGAACACCCACAGGTTGGACACATACCATGCATCAACATTATGTGGCAGTCACCAGAAGGGATCAAATTTGAAAGATTGTTTAATTCTAAAGGTGTGTCATTTGACTTTGATTAGATTATATATATCTATATATCGCAAAGTTGGCTTCATTTCATTGTCTCTTATTTGTCTCACCTTTTAAACTTCAAATTCCACCCTTGGTTGCATTCCAATTTCCATAAGCTTGGTTTCCCAAATCTACTAGCTTTTTGGTGTTATCTTATTATTATTATTTTTAATCAAAATAATGTTCAAATTTTCCCTACTTTGCAATGTTGCTTTCCAGGTCTCCAGCTCGCTAAGATTATGAAGAAATAAACATTGTGACCAGTTTACTTGGTTACCAAAAAGAGAAGCTCTCCCCACTTTGCTCTTTTAATCTTTGGAGTGATATTATTAAGAGTCATCCAGTTTTCTGGCTGTGTTTGTGTGTGTGCGCGTGCGTGCGATGTGTTGTGCTATTAAACAAGTTCTATCCAGGACAAGACATGGTGAATGTTTTATCTTTGTAATTTCAGCTTTGTGAGATGAAGATTTCCTCAGACATCTCTTCAATATGCATGTATATGTATTTGTTGTTGTGGTGGTTGCCTTCTTTACTTCTGTATTGCTGATTTTGTTTCAACAACATATTTAAGATAAATTACAAATACATTCCTCAAAATTTTCTTAAGATACAAATTATTTCATATAATTCTTGAAATTGCAAATATCCCCTTATCAAAATTTGTCATTTTACAGAGTTGACACAAAATGAATGTTTTATCTTTGTAATTTCAGCTTTGTGAGATGAAGATTTCCTTAGACATCTCTTCAATATGCATGTATATGTATTTGTTGTTGTGGTGGTTGCCTTCTTTACTTCTGTATTGCTGATTTTTTTTTAACAACATATTTAAGATAAATTACAAATACATTCCTTAAAATTTTCTTAAGATACAAATTATTTCATATAATTCTTGAAATTGCAAATATCCCCTTATCAAAATTTGTCATTTCACATAGTTGACACAAAAAAATAATAAATAATAAATAAATAAAAATAAAAACAAATTCATAACTATTCTTCTATACAATAATAAAATTACTAAAACTATTCATTGAAATATATTGTTGACATAATTAAATTTATTTATTTATTTATTTTTATTTTTTTCAATAGGTGATGAAGATTTTATTAAAATAAAATGAGATCGCATAACAGAGAGAGAGGCCACCAACCTTGACAAGTGCAAAATGCAGCCAAGCTGGGGGATTGAATTCCCATGGGCAGATTTAATTGTTTTTAATTTTGTTGTTTTTGTTTTTGTTTATGGTTAAATTATTTGTGCATCTCAATCATGTAACCACCCTTAAAGCAACATTTGTAAGATTATCGCACTAAAAATCATTTTCGAGAATCATAATTTGTCATTTTTTTTATAGGATAAATTATACGCGTAATACTAATAATTTGTTTCTTCTGTTAATTTGATCATTACGGTTTTAATTGTTTCAAAATTTTCTTTTAATTTTTCACACTATGCCAATTTACTCTAATTGATCACCCGAATTAAGAAATTTTATAGCAATCTAATTTGAGTTTTCACACTAAGTTAATTTAGTCTAATAAATAATCCATTAAAAAATTGAATTAATGTTAAGGATAAAATGATTCATTCAAGAGGAATAGACTACTTAAAATTAGAAAGAACAGGGTGTAATTTGTTTAAAAGGACATGGTGAATGTTTTACTTTTGTAATTCCAAGACAATATAGAATATGAGTTAAATTGATTTTTGAGTGATAGTTTGGAAGGCAAAATGACAATTTTCTTCTCGATTATTTTGCCCTTAATTTCAATCTAATTTTTAAAATGACATTATCAAATGGATTAAATTGACAATTAAAAATATTTAAGAATAAAATTAATGCAATTCAAATTATAATAATCAAATTGGCAGAAGAAGTAAACAACATAAAAATTCAAGGACTAGGCTTCTCTAAGGACTAGAGAAGTGTTGTTTGGTCCATTTGGCCCACTTTTAGGTTTCGTTTTGATGATCCGAATTATCACTACAGGAAATATAGGTTTAGATGGCGTTTTTTTAATGACGTTTTTTAAAGCGTCACTGTTTCTAATATTTAACGGCGTTTTATAAACGTCTTGTTTTTCTTTAATTGAAACAGCGCCGTTTTATGAATAGGAGGCGTTTATTAACGCCTTCAAATGCGTGCTGTCTCACGCGCTTCCTGTTTCAATCTGAGAATCTCGACTCCCAAATTGAACCGATGCACTCGCAAATAATCTCTCTCTCTCTCTCTCTCTCTCTATGCTGTCTAAACCCTGATCATCACAGAGATTCAGTTGCGTATCAATGGAATCCTCAGAAATCGAAGTTCTCTCTCGAAATCGAAGTGATTCATTAGAGCGATTTCGAAGTTCATCTTAGCGATTCAGATCTCGAAATCGAAGGTCATATCTCGAAATTTTAAAATTCTGAGTTCATATCACTTCGATTTCATATTGCGATTCAAATCTGAGTTCATATCACTTCGATTTCGATTTAGATCTGAGTTCATATCACTTCGATTTCGATTCAGATCGTGATTCAGATCTCAGCGATGCAGATCGGTCTCAGTGATTCATATCTCGAAATCGAAATCAAAATCGAAATCGAAGTTCGATTCAGATCGTGATTCATATTTCTTCTCGCTCAGGTTAGCTTTGGTCAGTTAGAAGCAAAGGTTTGTTAATCAATTCTTTGTTTCCTCTTCATTTTTCACCTTTGATAATTTTTTCCTTTCAACTAAAAAATGTTTTTTCCTTTTACCAATATTTCCCTTTTCAGATCTTTTTCTTTCAACGGTTTTGCTCTGGTTTGCTGCCAATGCTCTTAGATTTGAAATTATAATTTTTCTGATCAGATAGAGGCTATCATGAATGACTTTATTCAGCTGAAACCTCAATCTAATGTTTACGAGGCTGAAACCATGGTTGAAGGTTAGAAGCTCTATTTGAGGTTTTCTTTCAGGATATTTATATATGACTCAGGATTTGATGTTGTTTACTTCGTAATTTTTGTGCTTCTTTATGTTCAATCATATATCAGGAACTATCAGGAACACTGGATGGATTCTCATTTGATTCTGATGATGACGCTGACAAGATGCCTAAAACCGTCACTAATCAGACTAATCAAAATGAGGGCAATGGAGAGCAATCCAACACAAAAACTAAAGCAAAAGCTGAAAAAACACCAGTATGCTTCCTAACCTTTCTCAGTTCATTATGTATCTCATTGAATGACAAGATCGTATATTGATTGTGCAACATGTCGTAATAAAGAAATGCTAATTTATGAGATCATGGATGTAGGGGGTCGTGCGAAAAAGGAGTGGTAAAGCTGCAGGAGGAAAGCCACCCAAGAAAGTAAGAAAGAAAACCCAAGCTCCGAAGAACAGCAAGACTAAGAAATGAGAGATGCTACTGAATGTGATAAATTGTGGTGTGTGGGCCGACATCAATTCTCATTGGTGAAGGAAGAAGTATGGTAACAACAATTTATATTCCATAATTTGTATTTTTTTAATTTTTAATTTTGACATTTGTCGAATTTGAAAAAGAGCAACAAGAAATTGTTCAGCATGCCCTCTTTTTCTGGAGGGTTGTCAAATTATACATGAATTGCAAATCAGGTTAAAGTCTGGACTTGAGAAACAAATTACACTGTTAAATTGAATGGTGTGGTGCCTGACTATGTAAATTACAATGAAAGTGAATAATGGTGAAAATCTGAACTTCTCTTTTCTCCTCTCTCTTCTCAGAGAATTGTATTTTAGAAGAACAAATTCAAGAAAAGGACTATAAGGATTATTGATATTGATGAAACGGGTAAAAGAACTTTTGAGGAAGAAACCATGTCTGCAATCTCTCCATGACCCTGTTGTTGTTCTTGGTATATTGGTGGAGCTGGTATTGTATCATTTGGTCTATTCGTCCTGCATGAACAAGAAAGTTACATTTTTATGTATTAAGAAAAATAGTTAATTCACTTCTATTTCCTAAACTATTATCATTTTTTCTATTGCTTCCCTTAACTATTAATTTTATCTATTGCTATTACTTCCGCTAAGCCCCATTGTCATATTATGAATGATTTGGACTTTGAGGCCAAAGGAAATGTGGGATTACTAGTCGGTCACGGCCTGAACCTCTAGGGGTGGGCTAGAGTCGTGACAATTTATATGCTCGGATGTACGATCCTTGGGGATTGTTCGGTGAGAATTCTCGATTTGTCTTTGATGACTTACATAAGGAGCATCCTAGAATGATTCTAAATGCGAAATTGCAAATCCAATGACTTTCCTGTTGGGAAAAGCTAGGGCCTTAGCTATTGAGTGAATCCTTAAATTGCCTTAGAGTGAAACATATGACCTACATTCCTTGATCTTTTGTTGTAGGAGCTTGAAGTACGCTATGTGGGCGTATTCGACATGATGAGTGTTATTTTTTGTAAATGTTCAACAGAGTAGTTTAGACCTTGACCTTGCTTATTAGACTATGGATAGGATGCTCTATTGGTAGTGTATAAATTTGACCCTTCCAATATTCAATACACTAGTTAGGCTCATCTTGAATGAATGCAAATTGGTCACCAGAATGCCCTTAGAGGTAGTTGCGCAAGAGGTGGTGATCTTGAACCACTTCATGTGAGGCAAACATGGTGGATTCTATTGTATATGCTTATCGCAAGAGGTGTTGATAGAGCCTATGTTTAGAATCTAGAATTATGCTTATCGCAAGAGGTTCATTTGATCTTCATGCTTATTCAATCCTTTTTTGATTATAAATTATTTGTTTTAGATCATGTTGGAAATCGGGTCAAGTTTCAAACCCGAGTTTGGGCGTCCATGGTGGCATGGATCATGACCCATTAAATGACCCCGTTAGTTTGAATTCAAACCACCTTATCCTGGGAATAAGGGTGAATAGCCCACAATCGCATCTCTTAGGGAGATAGAGTTGTGGGTGGTTACATCTCTCTCTAATATATCTCTGATATGTTTTACGTATTATGAATATGGGTTTTAACTGAATAGTTTCTTCGAGAAAAAGATTATTCTCTCTTTAGCTCACTGCCATGGGAGAACAACCATGCCTTTGTACTGTGAAGAGTATGGGTAGTTCTACCCCACTGTTGGGAATTGTTTGCAGGTATCGATGGAGGTACGTGATTCATCCACATGATCCATGGATTTAGCTTGAGCGTAAAAGCTATGCCTGAATCCATTTATTTCTCCTGTGTATTATTTCTTATTTTTCCTACAGATCACATAGATGCCTTGGGCAGGGGTGGCTCCTGATGCTATTATTGATCACTATGATCAGGTCCAAGAGATCATTAGGCAGCGCATTTGGAATTGTAAATGAAGGGAAACAAATTGGAGTCTATCTAGTCTTATTTTAAATTAAAAATATAAAAAGGTATTCAAATTGATGTGTCAGTATGATCAACGGCGTCTTTTATAATCTGGAATTAAATGCTTAATTTTCAACTTCTTGCTTGGGTTATGGAATTAAAGGTATTCCATCTTTCATAAAGCTGATAACAGGTTAAAACAGCTTCTGCCTCTTAATCCCTTTTGTCTTGCTCACCCCCAATTGCTTTCTTTGAATTTGCTCGAACTTTTCTCTTAAAAACTTTAATTTGAAATAAGAGAGATAAAATCTAAATACTTTAAATACTGCAATTTAAGCAATGGGGGACTAATACCTCTGTGGTTGTTGCAATGGACTCCTCTTCATTTGCTACAATCTTGCTTATCTTCTTCATTCCCCCAAGAAGAGAGCATACCATAATCATCTATGGCAACTTCTTTAATAATAGTAGTGTATGCTTACGGGTGCGTATGGAACTTTGCATGATGATGCTTCTTTCTAATCTATCCCAAGCATATTTTGGTAATCTGTTGCTCTGACTTCTGCAGGCATTTGAGCACCTTTTAGAACGTGAATTAATCTCTTTTACGGACAACAGAGGGCACAATCAATCTGTTGAATTTCGCCCGGTGAAGCTCCTAATCTCATACCATGAACTATATCAAGGGTTGGAATCATATCGGTCTTGTCCAGTAAGTTTCTAGAATGAAGTGCACACATGTTAAATGGTCATGATCTTTGGATGCACTATAGAAGTATGGCACTCATATTCTTGATGTATCTGTAAACATAAGACTATATTATATGAGAAATCTATATAGCTTTTTGGGAAATTTTCATGCTAGTTTGCAGTTTTATCATCTTATGATGTTTCAAAAGCTAGTTTCCTAGCAACATCTAGACATTAAAATTTCAAAGACTTTCAACTTACAATATCTATGAAACGTTGGTGATTAGTGTATTATTTTACACACGTTGATAGGCAATTCTTCAGAAATTAATTGATCGCGAAGGATTCATTGATGGTGTTACTAGCCCCGACCGGGCAGTGGCTCCTGCCTCAATTTTGTCAAATTTGTTTGGGAGACTTCAAGATTAGAGATAGTCTAACCAATGGCTTCTGGTGCTGACCTAAATGCCATCCTAAATGAGGGAGATTCTCTTAACTGCTAACATTTGTAATGTTTTTCATTTCATTCTTTTTGTCTATTTATTTTTTCCTCAACGGTGGTGCTAATATCTTTCCTATTTATACTGCACATTATTATTATTATTTTATTTTATTTTGATAAGTTATACTGCACATTATTTTAGTACCTAGGTGATGTGAGACTTGGTTTCACAGGTACTAGAGAAGGATGTAAGCTCATGTATACAACTTAGGAATGTGGGATATCAGGGTATTACATTCAACCCCAATAGGAATACACGTCCTCATGTAGTCTATGGTTCCCACCATGCTGCTGCCATTGTCCATAGGAAAACTGTGCTAAGGATGCATAGTATGTTTAAGCATATCCCATACCAATTTTTCTTGGTATACCTATTTAACTTGTTACTCTGGAGTCTTAGGGGTCACGGAAGTATTTAATCAATAAAAGAGTTCCACTGTATTTCCTACATTAAAGTTTCTTACATTCCTTGATGAATTGAAGGTTTTAACACATGTTCATCACCTAAACTTGGTAATATTCTAACTTTCCCATTGAACATGTGTGTCTAAGTGGTGTTATCTTTTCTCTATGTAGGCATGTATAGAATTTTATCTGGCTTGTTGCCTTATTGTTTTAACAAAGTCATGCATTGTCATTTCATGAAATTCAAACTACATAAGCTGATTAAACTGACTGATCCTATTTAGATTTACTAGCGGTATGCAATTTAAACAAATAAGAATAAAAGAAGATAATAATAAAATTAATATTATAATATATATTTAGTTTAATATGGTGATATTTTTTAGTTTGCTTCATAATTGTCGCATCTATACAGGTGGTTGATGCATGGGGAACAGTTGCTATATTGATAAACAATGCAGGTTCTTGACTGTTCCACCTCCTTTTCCATCATTAACAGTTTCAAATATAGTCCACTAACTGATCAACAATGGTTTCAGGTATTACTAGAGATGGTTTATTGATGAGAATGAAGACTGCTCAATGGAAGGAGGTTATTGATCTAAATCTCACTGGTGTATACCTATGCACACAGGCGTGTAGATTTTAAGCTCAGTTTGGGCAGTCATAGTTTTCCTCTTAGTTGGATCTAAGCAGCTTTTTTTACTACTCTTTGCAGGCTGCAACTAAAATTATGATGAAAAAGAAAAAGGTATTCCTGTCTCAGAGGCTCAATTTTATTTATATTAAAACTGTATTTGCCAGACAATTACACTTTTTTTCCCACCTGCAGGGGGGGTGGGTAGGGATTTTAGTGTCAACCTATTTTTGATGCATTTCCACTTGAAAGTTTGTTTCTCAAATTTGCATCAGAAATAGTTTTTGGAAAAAAAATTTCAATTCTCTCCTCATTTCATGCTCTTTCATAATGCATCACAAGTTGCTTACAATTGAGAAAGAAATTGATATTTTGAGAAACAATTTGGAAAAAATGTATATTTTGGTGAATGCTTGGCAGGTGACAGCACAAGATGTGTCAACAATGCTGAGATGTGGACAGAGGACCATCATCTTCCTTATAGAACCCGAGAATTTTTGGGTATGTTTGGTTTGTGTTTGAGAGATGTGTTTTAGAGATAAAAAGTACGAAAAGTTGTTTGGTTTGGTTTTTTTCAAAAGATGTTTTGGAAAATTATTTTGAGAGAGTTTTGGAAAAAGTGATTGATTTGATGTGTGTGAGAGAGAGATTTGTTTGGAAAACTTGTTTGGTTTACAAGTTTTGAGAAATTTTTTTGGGAAAATTTGTTTGGTTTGATTACTTTTAAAAACTTATTTGTAGAGAAAATTTCTCAAAATTTTTTCAGAAATACAAACCAAACGAACCCTTTGTTTCTTAGTGGATGCTTTCATAGTACTTGTATGTATAATTGGTATGTATAATTAGTTTGAATTTTTTGCCGATTTGTTTTGTTATAATTTTTAACTTACCACTAGGCACTAGTTTAACTTTATTTTATCTTAGAATTGAAATATTTTTGCATATTGAGAAGCATGAATTGGTCTAGTATTATGTTTACCTAAATTTAGTCAATATATTGTATATTTTTCATCTTTATAAAAGGTATTTTTTTTAAAGTTAAATCCCACAGAATTAGCACAATTTTTTATTTTTATTTTTATTTTTAAAAAAATGAAGCTATAACGGCGCTTTTACTTACCTGTTTTTGTTGGTTAGTTTTAGGTCATTCTTCAATTTGCATCCTTATGCTTTGCATGTTTGCATCCATTCATTTGTCTAGCATACTTATGCCCGCATGTTTGCATCCATTCATCTATATTGCATGCACTGGGCTCGGCGCATCATACTAACTGCATCGTATTTCAAATCCAAGTTGAATACATGATTATCTAATCGCATCTCATATGCCATCTTGGAATAGCTGAGCCTATTTCTAGTTGCATTTTGTATGTGTTGCATTAGCCATCTTAACATGAACTAGGATCATGCATTGATTATTAACTAATTTCTGTTTTGGCTTGGAGTACACTGTAAGTATTTAGGCTTTAGCATCCCCGCATGTGTGTTATTGATTGCCATGAAAGCATTCTTGCCATGAGGCTAACTGCTTAGTTGATATAAACTGCCTGAATGCCTGTGGGTGAAGGTTGGATTACTTGAATTGGAACAATTCATTGAAATCTGTGTTTTAGCCTACTTACGAGTAGCAAACTTCAAACCATTTCCAAACAAACGGATATGCGATGCTTTGTTCCAAATTAGGCGATCTAGTCTATACTTGTGTGTTGTGCGCATCACATAGTAATTCTAGCTAATTAACCAGAATAAGAACGCATGTGTTTTCAAAAACAAGATATCATGTTTAGAAGTGGTCGATCTTTGATCGGGCGAGCGGGGGTGCTCATAGATGACCTTCCCCAATCGTACCCAAGTTCCCGAGCCGAGGCAACTTTGGTGATGACGGACACGTGGCCTTAGGCAACGAGTCAGGGTTTCCTATAGGTGGCGACTCTGTATCTGGCAAAGCAGTCCATGTTTGGCACTTCTTTCTTAAAAATCAATTTTCCAAAACGATTTGCCGGATTTGGACTCTTTGGTGATTTATCAATCTCACATCGCACATTGTGAGATCAGATTAAGAACCATGACATTTTGAGTCCGAACTGTAGCATGAGGCCCAAGGGTGCGTCTACAGCAACACGCCAAAAAGATAGAGATATTAGCCTTGGTGTAGAGCCATATAGTTGACCAAGCCAAGATGGATCAATCTAAGGTTGTGGCTGAGTTGGGGGACGTCAAGGCTCAGCTAGGCTAGTTTAAGCGTGATCTAGAAGCTACTCGCCAAAGGATGAGGTCGTTGGAGTTCGAAGTAGCGAGTGAGCAAAAGAAAGTTTTAGACGTCCAACAGGCCTGCACCATGGCTAACGAAAGACTGGATGAGGCTCTGACCAACAATGAAGAGCTACATGGGTTGTCTCTAAAGGAGAAGAAAGAGGCCAACGCTTGAGTTGCTGAATTGGAGAAGGCGCTCAACGCAAAGAATAAGGCTCTTGAGGAGGAGAGGAGCAAGGCTGCAAAGCTGGCCAAGGCGATAGCGTCAGAAAGGACAGCCTACCTCGACCACTATGCTGTAGCTGTGGAACAATTCAAGCAGTCTACTGAATTCCAAATGGCAGTAGATGTTGTTGTGGCCTAAAGCTTGGTTAGAGAGGGGGGTCTGAGGCTGGTCTATCAAGCTCAAGTGCTGTAGATCTGGTGGAGGGGCAGATGAAGGCAAAGATAATCCAGAACTTCCAACAATTTGATTATTTCAAGCACTTGCTTAGCAAGTATTGGGATAGCGATTGGGTGAAGTTTAGGCAGAGAGCAAAGGTGACCTTCCCAGACATCAACTTTGACCTCGTAAAGCTAGGAGATGGAGAAATCGCATGTACTCCGCTGGATGAGGGTATTAAAAAGGAAGACTTGATATCCAATGAGGAAGAAGGAGATGAAGGGGGAGCGAGCTGAGCTTTACCTTATAAAGTGTAATTTTAGTGTTTTACTTTCTTTTTACTGTAACTTGTCCTTGCAATAATGTACAAAATCTTTGACTTGTAAGTTTTGTAATAAAGAAGTGTTCTTTATAAAAATTTTGTTAATGTAAAGATTTGTTTTAGGTGATGGTCTTGTATACTTAATTATCTTGTTTCTTTGGGTGACCCTTAAATCAAGTGGAAGTAAAAATTGAATTTGAGCAAATTTGAAGTGAAGGTAATGAACTAAGTAACTTGGTAAATTTGGAAATGGATATCTTTTTACCACCAATGATCTAAGCAATCACTGGGAATAAAAGTAAAATCAGAGCAACAAAAACAAAAGTAAATCATACGAAGTTCCTGGGCTTATAGAACTGACCCTTAGTGGAGGAGTAATTTGAGAAAATGTAATGATAAACGAAAGAAGTGGTAGGTGGTGGCTAGACAGATGGAACTGTTAAAACTGAGAAAAGTGTAACTTCTAAAAAAATTTAATCGAATCAATGTCGTAATTTTAATGTGACTTGTAAAAATTGGTTCGTGTCCAGTCTGGATGGGGTCTTCATCCTCAGTCTGGCTGAGGATTTTTGGACTCAGTCTTGCTGAAGTCTTCATGCTCAGTCTGGCCGAGGCTTTTATGACTCAATCTAGTTGAGGTTTTCATACTCAGTCTAGTTGAGGCTTTTTGGGACTCAATCTGGCTGAGGTCTTCATGCTCACTCTGGCTGAGGCTTTTTGGACTCAATCTAGCTGAGGTCCTTTTAAGTTAACACTTACAAAATGTGCAACACAGATAACAGAAGTTGAATATCTTTTTCATTAATATAAATTCATGCCAAGGTGAGCTTATATATTGCATTGAAAAGACAAAATTTAACAAGTGGTCTGAGTTGAACAAGACAGCAAAATAAACGACATGTGAGAAAAAGCCTTCATTTTATTGACAACATCGCTTCAAATGCTTAGCATTCCATGAGTGAGCAAGATCTCTACCTTTCATATCTTATAAACGGTAAGTGCTTGGGTGTGTCCTAGATTTGACAATGTAAGGCCTCTCTTACTTAGCTGCTAGCTTGACTTCGGATGGATTTTTGGTGGCCAGAGTTGCCTCCCTTAAGACTAAGTCGCCCACTATGAATTCTCTGGGTCTAACTCTGCTATTATAGTGCTGCCTCATTCTTTGCTAGTATGAAGCTAGCCTGACGATAGCTGAGTCTCTCAATTCTTCAATAAGGTCTGGGTTAGCCTTCCGTAGCTCTTCGTTCAGCTCTGGATTGGGGTGCATAATTCGAGGGATCTGCAGGCCTATCTTCCCAGAGATGACCACTTTGGTACAATATGTAAAGCAAAAAGGAGTCTCCATTGTAGGGATTTGTGCTGTCGTCAGATAAGCCTAGAGTACATTCATGTAACATCCCTGAACTGTGATTAGCCACTAATCCATGATTAAGAGTACTTAATCAGTAATTAAGAAGATATTTTGAATTAATTGCATGTGCGTTGCATTATTTGAGTTTATATCTATCTACTGTAGAAATATATGTCTGTGTTTCTGTTTCATTATGCGAATTGAAGGCCTTATCAGCCGCAGAATGTGAAATTGATTTGGTCTACGTGTTATTTAGAATTTTATGGTAGGTTGAATTGAAATTCGATTCGGAACGAAATAATTAGATTAAATTCAGTTAGATTTAAGCTTAATTATCTATCTTTAATCATACTTGATTAACTAGTCTATTGAAGGATAATTGGACTCGACTAGCTCATTCTAGACCTCTTTATTTCCTCATCTTTGAGCCCACAACCATTGGAGAGAGAGAGAGAGAGAGAAGAAAGAAATCAAGCTCAACTAGGGACATTGCTAGGGAATTTGAAGGAATTAGCTTGAACTTAGCTAGAATTTGAGACGTTGGGAAGAACCACTCAAGAATTCAAAGAATTGAGACTTGTAGGTAAGAAATCCAACCCATAAGTTATGTAAGTGACCCATTTAATTTGTGAATTCAAAAGAAAATGAAAGATTAATGCATGAAATTAACTAATGTAGAAGGAAAGAAGAAGATTAGAGCATGCATGTGCATTACATTGCATTTAGAGCATGTTGTCTACGAATTTGTCCCATACATGTTCATATTTTGGTTTTAGTTTAAGAATTCAACATGTTTTTGTACCAAACATCTCAATTGATCATGTTTTGGAAAGTTGAAGCTCATATCATTACATTCAAGTCATGTTCTTGAAGTTTCAAGTTGAATTTTGAACAATTGACTTACTCTTAGGCCTTGATTTTGTAAAATGATCCTTAATTCTTGGGTTGTAAGGCTTTGAATTCGAGTTTTGGACTAACGAGTGCAATCTGGGAATTCCAGAATTTGCACCCTTCGCTCAAATGGTGGAGTCTGCACTTGAGCAAAGAATGAGAGCTCTCAGAAGTTTTACAGACTTTTGCAGACCACTTGAGCGTAGGAAGTTGTGCTCAAGCAGAAACCTTTTTTACTCAGTTTTGCACTCGAGCGACCATCAAGCGTCCATCGAGCAGGAAAATCGAGCAACC